CATGGACTTCATGATGGGTATTAAGTAGGGGAATTATTACATGTCACAGAAGATTTAATTTCTGCAACAGGCCATTCCCTCTGATCCACAAACATCAATAACAAAAGTGAGCGCATCAGACGTAAATGTCAGTATGTGAGTTTGGGTTTGCATTTTTGTGGAGATTTTCCATTTGATAGGCAGCAGATTCACCAGCTTGTTTATGCACCAAAGCAGTCTACAGGAATAATAATCTTGGCACCAGAGATGGATATCTCTGCCACTTTAACTCTCTTAACACTCATGCAGCATCTGGAGTTCTGTAAAGGTCAAGGATCCTAAATCCTTTTGTGCAAGTGCAGATTGGATCCTCATCGCTTCATCTTAAAGTTACAGTTAAATGTGCTCCAACATGAAAATCTGTCTAAACAGAAACCTGCTTATTTGTTTTTAAGCGTTTGTAAAAAGGAGTTACTTTGTATCTTGTCCACTCTGAACACCTATTGATGTTGTTAAATATCCCATAAATAATAGTACTTGTAGTAGAACTCGGTGGCTTTTTTAATTGCTGTTTTCTGTTGTTAATGGGGGTTAAATGTTGGAGACTAGAAAGGCTGAATTTGCTGCCTTATTTTGAGTAACATATTTGATCGCAGTTGTTCTTCCTCACCCACACATTGTTTGGTTTCTATGATACAATCATTTTTTGTAGAACATCTTTTTAGTTGCTAACCAGATCTCTTAGGAGTTCGCACCTTTCCCACAATATCTTCCTCATGTGTTTAACAGCTTTTCTTCTCTTCAGCTCATCTTGTGTCACTAGACTTGCAAAAAGAACCGAGTATAGCACGCTACTCATTATTTTTAGTATTTAATTTTCATGTTGAATAAAGCATTTGTTCAAAGGGGTTTTGTTTTCTATCCAGCTCTTTCTCTTTTTGTTTTTCTTTTTCTCCATACAAATAAAGTTTATATCCTAGATCATTATTTACTGTTTCTTTTTACACTTTATATTTTTGCTATTGTTGGATGTAACTGGGACCCTGTGTACACAATTTCGTTCCACCTTGTGCACCACATGTGATGCGAATGACAAAGAACCTTGACTTGGCTTGATCTTTCTGTATAGTTTGTATAACCAAACTTGTGTCTATTTTGAGATTTTGCAAGTAAGCTCCTATTTAAGTCTTTTACTCTCACAAGAGATTATAGTAGGAATAGAAACAAATGAACACAAATTAAAGTTTGTTATATAGTCCAAGAATATCGTTCCTATCAGTAAAGAAAATACAACTGGGTCAGGGATGACACGCCACGAGGACACCTTGGTCAAAGGGGGTTTCAATCATGAAAGGGACTCACAATAAGAAGCGATTGGTCCTTTGGCAGTTGCTAGGCAACTGTATCAGCATTAGCCTTGCAAGTCAAGGAGCACTGGTGGGGACATTCAAAAAGAGAGACGTGTATGGGTATTTTTGCATGCGTAAGAAATGTGGCATCTATAAGCGCATGCAGTCAGGCGCACCTTATTTATCGCTTTTTGTACAAATGTTGAGAGGGATCAACATTCAAGAGGCTGCCAAATCGTTGTTGATGTTTTGATTGATTCTTGGGGACATAATGAAAGTCATAATCCTCAGACAAGCCCTTTGATATGATGATTAAAGAGGAGACATTTTTCTTGTTTAGTTATGAGTTAACAGATTGTCATTTATTACTAGGGGAAAAAAAGGTTTAAAATTACTGTTTATTAGTCTATTATTTTTGCTGTCATTTGGCAGTTTATCTACAATGAACGAGCTCTATAAAAGATTTAATGTGGTTTAATAAAGCAAACCACACCATCATTATCATTGATTTTCCTTCATGAAAAAATGTTACAATCATTTTTTATGAATAATGTGGTCCGGAGTTTTGTTTTTTTTCCTTCGAAATACACATTTAGGCCAGGACAAGTGTCTCACTGCAGTTATTCTTGGTGTAATTGGAGCTCAATAATGTATAGGGATGCATGATATTGGGTTTTTGGCCGATATCCGATAAGCCGATATGTTAAAACTTATTTGTCCAATAACCGATACCGATATTTTTAATATATGTTCCTTTGTCAGAACATAGCCCTCTTATTTGCTACAAAAATTGTGCAACAGCTGTAATAGCTGATGACATATATTCAGTAACAGCCATATGATATGCATAGCACTTTAACTTATATTAAATGAAAACTGTTAAATGTTATTTATTAGCATTAGTCACCAGCAATGCTGTCTCACTTGTGGAGGCTTGTTCCAGGTTCAGCTGCAGTGTGGGATCCTCTGCACTCCTGTGCATGAAGGACAACCTTTTTAAGTTCAAAGTTTTTGTCTACCCATTGTGCCGTAAGACTAATCATGTTAACGGGGCTAACACTTGACGTCCAAATGTCTGTGGTAAAACTCACCCAAGTGCTATCAGCTAGTAGCTTCTCAATGATGTTGGAAATGACAGCTTGCAACTCGGGTAAGGCTACGTCGGAAAAATATTTCTGACTGGGGACGATGTAGCAAGGCTCAACATAGTCCATAAATCTTTGGAATCCAATATCCTCAACAACAACAAAAAACTTAGACACCACCAACATTTTGGCTTCTTCCTCTCCGCCGTGATTAGATCAGGTCGGCGTGCATGACGTCATCACGTTGTGCTGGCGCTGCAGGCGTCCTTGTCACTGGGTTGTCATACAAAAACAGCGTATTTTATATCGGTGAGTTATTTTGATGGAATGTCCGATATTTAACTTCAACGCTAATATCGGCCGATACCATGCCGATAATATCTTGCATTCCTAATAATGTATTTTTACTTTGTTTAATAACTACTAAAGATGATTATTTTATAATTTAATTCTAACATATAGCTCATACTTTGTACCTGCTCTTTTTAATTAAAATAAGCAATGAAAAAATATCCGATCACATAAATAGGAGCTCTTTTTTTTTTTTTTTTACTATCTTTCCTCTACTTCTCTTTTTTTCTACTCCTAGGATTCCACTGAAAACTAGACTGTAAAGCTCAATAACAATCTATGATTCTACCCTTGTATTTGAAATACCCTGTCTTTGAGGTAATCCTGAATGAATCTACAAGAGTAGAGGTTGAAATGTCTACATGGAAAATAGACCACCACTTTGTTTGGAGTGGTGCGCTCACTTTTGGAGAGTTATTTGAAAGATTAGATGACCCGTTTTTCACTAAAATAAATGATAGACCCGATGGCAGCACACACAACGGTTAAAAAAACAAAACTGTAGACTAAGTGAAATCTATTCATTGTATAACCTCAACTTCTCAGTTTTGTGGTCATAATACAATGTAGTAATGTTTTAGCATATGTATGTGACACAAAATGCAATTAGACTAAGGCTATTTCAACACGCATGTGATGGGATGCAAGAAATGAAAACTAAATTTCAAGTATTTCTTACCATTTTGACATGTCCAGGACTCGCTGCAGGATTTAGTTTGCTTGTCGTCTGGTCATTATTTTTTCCTCTTTACACTTTTTATTGATTACCGTAGCTGAGAAGTAATCAATGCTTCTTACAAGCAGGCCCAAATCCCTGTGATGTTACACTCCAATAACGAATAAGAGTGAAACACAAAAACATCACAACTTTGCATGCTAAAACTGCAAGTTTTGCATTTTCAATAGAGGACCTACCAAAACAGTTTATTTAGTATTTATTAAAAGTAAACTAAAATTGCTGTTTGCCTTACTGATGAATTGTTCTCTGTTGGAGGCCTGACATATTGTATCCTTGTTAGTTGTTGTAGCATAGCAGTTTGAGCACCTATGCAACACCACAAGTGTAGTTTTCATTAAATCATTACATGTAGCTACACTTTATTTGCTTTGAGCCGTTTCCTGTTAGCAATGAGGGTTTCTCCCCTCACCCCTTTCCTGGCATGAGAACTGTTGTAAATGCTCTCTTTATCCTTGGGAGAAAAGTTCAATAACTGCTCTTGTTCTTTTTCCTCCAGAGAACGGCCCTGTGGAGTAGCCATCAATTTTTTGGCTGCCCCTTTGTGTGCATGAGTGCACTCCCGTTAGCGCGTGCCTTTTGGCCTCCTGTTTAATTATGGTGCAGATTATTGAGTCAGTGCTGATCTCTCTTGATGTAGGCATCGCTTGCTGTCCCCACTGAATTCAAATAAAATGCTGTGGTCATTAGTGCTGCTCAAAAGTGTCACCCCAGCTTATCCTGTAATCACAGTAAACTGCCAACAAAGTTAGTCCATTATGATAATGGTGCTAATGTAATTTTGTTTAATTTTATTTTGAATATTGACAAATAAAACTGGCAAGCTGAGCAATAATACTGCTTAATACTAGACATCTGCTTAATAATAATTAATAATACGAATAATATTGCTTTACTCCATTTGATCAAAGCTACATGTTAGCTTAAAAGTACAACGTAAGAAGCAGAGTAAATAATAAAATCCTTTCTCAAATGAAGGTCTCTGTCAAACCACCGGTAGATAAATGTGCAGTCGTCCATGGGGCATGTTGTTTTGCAGACAATACTGGCTGAGATTAAAACCATGTTCGTCATGCTAAATTACATGCAGTCATTGGATCTGTGGATCGATATTGACGTTTAGACCTTTAGCCTTCAAAACGTCTTCTTTTATTTACGTCTGTGTGTGCAGTTCGGTTTGTGTGTCACTATCACATCTATTTGCTGTCTGAGGGTGCACCTGAGTCTGCCAGCAGACCACAAGGACTTATGGCTTTTGCTTCATCCCTGACTTAAGACGGATGCTTGTATTTGCAAGAATCATATTATGTAATTGTGTTACATAAGTCCTCCAGGGTATTACTCATAGATTGGTGGATACCCATTCCTTTCTATGCCAAACAGACATGTCCTCTTACAGTAGGCGTATTTTTTTTTTATGTTATTCTCTGTATGTAATTTATTGGATATTTATTATTCAACGTATCTCAGTGTTTTGCCTCTTGTTCACTCCTGTGCTAGGTGTGCACCATGGCGTCTAAATCTCACCCTCCTCTAATGAAGAAGCACAGTCAGACGGACTTGATAAGCCGCCTGAAGAGCCGGAAGATCCTTGGAGTTGGTGGCGAAGACGATGATGGCGAAGTGCACCGCTCAAAGGTCAGGTAGCCTCATATAAACGCTGCACAATTTATTTTTATTGTTATTATTATTATTTGTTACACAGGGACGGATGAAGACAACAGTTTTCAAAGTCAAGGCCATTAACACAATAAACCGCTTGGATGTAAATGTAAACACTACAGTTAAACTATCATTAGTAAATGGATACTGTTGGAGGAAATCAAACATAAATGATTCTCCAACATAAATGTGTTTATTAACCCAGAGGGATTCTTTTTAAAAACCACGAGGGGCATCTAATTGGCTCATCTCTCTTTTGTGGGCATTTGCTTCTTGCGCTTCAGTGAATTTAGATCACGTAATCCTCCAAGCTCTCGCATCTCCACTGAGATATGATGGGCTCCCCTGGGAGGCTCCCTGCCTTTTTCATCTCGTGTGTTATATTACTTCCTCACATTCATTTGTTCATACATATTGACAATGCATACCAGAACATAATGGCACACATGCTGGTTTATTGAGAGACACAAAATCACCAATCATTTTTATGCCACAGTTACAAACGGAGAACATTTTTCCCCCTTTTGCTGGACTCGGATATCACAGTTTTAACATTGTTGTTTTGTTTTTTTTAATGTAAGATTGCATCACGTTGTGCATAGGCACAGCAGACAGTTCCGTACTGAAATATTAATCAGGCGATTGAGCGATGGGAACAGAACAGAAGGGAGCAGGCATACGGTGGTGGCTGATAGCGTGTGATGAGATGTCAGCCCCCTTTCCTCAGCCCTCCTGAGTGTTTGTTTTCTCTCTCAATGTTTTAGCACGGAGCCTAACCCAGTCATCTGTCACATAAATCTCTTTCAAAAAGCATACTCATGTATCAGATACAAACTGACAAGTTACCTGTAAAGGTTGTGTATCTCTTAGTATATTTTATTATATGACAATAATTCGATCAGAGAAAAATACTTTAGATATGATTCTGATAATGACTGATGAGTGAACAGTAAAGCATCACTTTAGCATCACATTAGCTAATGTTTTCTGTATGTGGTGTTTTGATAAGTGGGCTTCCATATTTGTATGTGACATGACCTACTTTTACAATTAAATAGATGCTGTTATAAATGTTTTTTCAGTTACTTTTTATGCTCTTCAGCCATGCTATAGTATGTTTTTAGGGAAAAGAACCCCATGGGATCTGATGTAAACGTAAAGATGTGTTGCTAATATTGTGTGGAAATGAAAACGGTTGAATTTTTCCTTGTGGTTCCTATAAACAAAGAAAGGAAGTGTAGTCTGCTGACAGTGTTTTCCTGCTTCCTTTACTGATAAGATTACTGGTCTTATTACAGATTTGATGGCAAAGAAAGAGACACGTGCAACTGAATGAGTGCAAATGTACAAAGAGAGGTTTTCCATCATGAGTGTTGTTGCCAACAACTCGTTTGACCCTTTAACGTGTTGCAACAGATGAGGCTTGGCGGTGTGAACTCAGGCCCTTATAACGCAACCTTCCATGATGTTTTGTGTATATTTTGGAGCCCTGAGGAATTTGAGAAGATGACCACCATCTGCTTCATGTAACCACAAACTGACATTCGTAAGCTGAATATCCTGTGTAGTTTGTTGTGCACTGTAGCTAAAAAAGGAAGCCATTGTTGAGTGGAAGGGACTGACTGATTCATGTCAGCGCTGGCTGTAATTAAGCACGTTTGTGTCTTTTCCTGTTTTTCTTTCATACCACAAGTCAGCTCAGTGCCATCAGTTAACTCCCAGATCCCTTTGAGTATTTGTCATGCCAGTCATGAATATTTATGTGTTCCTGTCAAAAACAGCCCCTGGAACCGTGGCACCATGGAAGGCTGATTCACCTGGTCATGTGATCACAGCTGGTGCCGAGGGTTTCATAAACAGACTCTTCAGCTGCAGTGTGAGGAGATATGTAATGGGTTTTCTGTGCAACTGTTGATCGCAATAATTTCAGAGCTTTGGCTTCAAGGGAGTCGTCTCCAAGCTTCGTAGCATGAGATCAAAGATAGCAGCAGCCGGGGGAAACATAAAGGAGTCTAAAAAAATTAAAAACAAGATAAAAAAAACATTACTATTCTGTTATTTGTTGTTGTTAAATGCTAACTCTGGATATTTAAAGGATTTTTAAATATCTAAACTAGTTGTTTTTTTTCTTGCTTATCTAATAAAATGAGCTTTTCTTAATTTAAACTGCACTGCTGCACTTTATGTAGCCCCGTCTAAAGCTTTTGACACTGTAGACCATGACATCTTATGTCATAAGCTCTCAGAAATTGTTTTCTCAGATCACACTACTGGTTGGTTCACTAACCATCTCTCAGATCGGAGGCAGTGTGTTCAACATAACTAAATGCTGATAAAACCAATGGGATGTTGTTTTCATACAGGAAGTTGTTACCAGCAGTCCTTCTGTCTATCGTATCTACGAATGGTGAACCTATTGAGTTTGTCGATTCTTACAAATACTTTGAAATTTTGGTTGATGCACATCTCTCTTTTTTTAAGCTGCGTCAAAAACTTGCTAAAGAAATTGAAAGTTAAACTGCGTTTCTTTTTCAGAAATCGATCCTGTCTAACTCTGAATGCTAGGAGACACCTTGTAACTGCAACTTTCCTTCCCTCCATTGATTACGGTGACATTATTTACATGTACGCTCCTACAAGAACCCTGCAGATGTTGGATACTGTCTATCATGGTGCACACCTGTAGAAATAAAGATTGAATGACTAAAAAAACTATATTTTAATTATTATATATAATCATTGATTTAAATATGTTTGGTCATATGTTAACTTAAACTACTTGTAGTTTAAGAAATGGTGAGAGCAAGACAAGAAGAGCAAGAGACGTTTCACGAGATGGTCAAAACACAAAATTACTGGTACTGGCCAAATAGTGGCGAGTTCCCAGCAAACACTGCAAGCCAGAAAATGATTCATCATCTTTGTGTTAATGTTTATGATTATGTGTATTTTGAGCTTCTATAATGCTGTAAGGCTCCAACACAACAATACTTTCTGATAGAAAGGTATTTCATGATGAAGGAATATCACTGACGTTAGAAACATGAAAGGAGTCATGTGATGTCTGAGGTCTGTTTTTGTTTATTATTGTGTGTGT